GAGGACCACGACCGAAGGAAGAGAGAAATAGGAGTTTCACATCTCTCTGCGCCAATCCCCACTGGTTTGGTTGACGAGAGCCGGAAGTTTTGGATCTCTGCGTCAATCCCGACCAATCGATCGAGGAGGAGAGGCGATTACTGATACCAAAAAGAAACTATTGCTCATAAAACCACATTATTTCATTGATGAGGGGCCTATATAGAGTCTTACAAGTTACAACATTTATAAATAAATCCCTATACTTCATATATTACAAATAGGACCCTACATTATATACAAATATCAACATATTTCGACCAAAAAGAAAAATAGAATAAAAAAATTCAAGTAAATTAAAAAAATAAAAAATATTCAAAAAAAATGTTAATTATAGCGAAGGAGTAAAATTCATCCACCATCTATAAAAATTTGTTCAGAGTAATAAATTTCAGATAAAACTAATCTCAAAAAATGCCAATGTAAGCTCACAAAAATTCGATGTTGGTATGAAGCATACATTTATTAGTACTCTCAACAAACGTCCTGCGGGTAAGAACATGTCAAGTATCCTCTGGCCATATGATTTTGCCTTCAATAGACACTACAAAAGAAGCACTTAAGAACGAAGAAATCAAATTGGGTTGCTCAGCATCGGTGTATTACAGTCATCAATCAAAGCCAAGACATTACTCAAAAGCTTAACTACTTTTTATAAATCATTGGGTGCACTTGATAAAACACATAATATTTTATTAGCAAAAATCGATAATGAAATTATCCCCTTAGTTATTCACTCCAAATCTAAACAGTCTGTAAATGATGCAACTATTGATTGCTGACAAAAATCATTTGATTTTAGAGCCCGTTTGGGGCAGCTTATTTGGTGCGGTGGAGTTTTGAAAACGCACCTGACTTTGATTGGGTAAAATATTGTTTTGGCAGGTTATGCATTTTCAAAACGCAGAAAACTGCATTTTCACACCGCACCTATCTAAGTGCGATGGGAGCTTATTGGCAACGATCTGGCTTTTCCAAAAAAATAAAAATTTGTAATAGCCACCACACCTAGCTTATCAGCAGATTATTCAATAAGCTACAGCTGCCCCAAACAGACCCTAAATCATACCAACTACCTCCAAGGAAATAAATCAAGATTCATGATAACCCATCATGAAGAAATCATTGGACCTTAATCTGATTTGTTATCATTTCCCTCTAACATTCAATTCAAGCTAAAGATGTGCATGTTCTCAGCCAAAAATTCAATTGTTGTTATTATACGCTGAATACACTTGACAGAAACATTAATCAAATGTTCTCTCTAATCACTGAAAGAAATAAAATAATCATAGAGACTTGTGACTACGAGAAACTTAAAATTAGAATTTAAGGATTCGCAAAATGAAGACAAAAGTTGTGAGTAGTCTTAGTAAAATATTTAATCTCCACCTTGGAAATTTCATCCAATGCAAATCAAACTCTTTAAGGAGGACTAGGCACAAATTTTCAAAGAATGCACAATAGATAAACTGGATAAGAAATTGGCTCGATGTAGAATTGTCATTTTAAATTTATCATCATTAGCATATTATTCCAAAAGGTGATTTTCCTTAAAGCGATAGATGACAATTTTCAATTGAAAATTGTTTTATTTTAATGGAATAAAAACCCATAGCGATTTTCTTTGTTTTGGGGGCATTTTGTCAGTAAAGTCCCATCCAATTGAAATGTAACTTCAGCACGACCATTGCCTGGGTTGCTTGATGTCTGAAGCATTTTTATCTGGGAATCAAACTTTAAAGAATGATTTTGATATTGGGACCCCTTCGATTATGATGTGTAATAATAATGCCAACCATATGAATATTTGAATCATTTCAATTTATTATTATAGACCATGGCATCACCGCTCAACAGTTACAAGGATCAGGATTGCCGATTTGCTTGCTTTTCCCTTTCACTGCATTACAAGCTCCGTCAACTCTAACATGCATATAAAAAATTAAGTCTGAAGGGTTACAATCGATGATTGTCTTATTGGCACAGTTATACTGAGTTAAAATTTGGCAAAACATGAGAGAAGAATTTAAAATCATTCTTCAAGACAAATTTGGCAAAACAAATCAATGTCAAATAGAGAACCGGACTTACTTTGCCCAATAGACAAGGTAGTGTGCTTGAGAGCTAGTGTACAATATGTAATGATTTGAATTTGAAATTAAAGTAGCATTGGAAACTTTCAAAGTAACTATAGAAAAAATTGAGTGCTATGAAAGCTCAGCATGCTCATTCTTTCAACACAGATTTACACACAAAATTACATAAAAAAGGAAATAAATAATTGCAATTACAAACATAAGGAATTGCCTCTATCTATCCCAATGTTTGATCATTTAAGGTTGTTGATTGATACCAAGGGAGTAATCTGTGGGCCATTTTTTCCTTTTCGTATATGAATCAATGGGAGAGGTATTACTAATAAAGAATAAATTTGCGGCCTCTTAATTTTAGCTTGAATCCATCGTGTCCATTATTCATCATTTTTCTTCATGTTTGATCAAATAATTTACCAGGGCCTTGGTTAATGTGATGCTCTTGATGCACTGATGGACTGTTTTGTAAACAATAAATTTGAAATATTTTCACTTTATGTGGCGGGTTTTGAATTAAACAAGCATAATACTGCGTCCGGCCTTAGTCTATTGTTGCGTTCAATTAGATTGAATGTAGAATAGCTATGGAGGTTTACTATGTTGAATTAAGTGCATGTGAAATTAGGGTTATAATATCCACAACAAAATCATAGTGAAACTCTGCATAAGTAGTGACAGGATATAGCCACCTGGAATAAAAATTCTTGTATGTTTTTGGGTGTTGATCTTTTTTTCAATTTTTATGTTTAGTTCTTTGTATTTTAACTTTTTCTTATTCCCCAACATCTCTCTCCACCCAAAAAAATATGTTGCAAATACAACAACAACAACAACAAAGCCTTAATCCCACTACGTGGGGTCGGCTACATGAATCATTTTTCTCCATTGCATCCTGTTTAGTGTCATATTTTCATTTAATTCTAATAACAACAGACCAGAGATATCTAAATCGTTCACACCTTTTAATAATTTGATCACCCAAAGTTACACTCTTGTCACTAGAGCTACTACTGCTAAAATTACATTCCATGTATTCAGTTTTAGTTCTACTCAAATGAAGGCCTTTAGACTCCAATATAGACCTCCATAATTCAAGTTCTTCCAGGACTTTTTCTCTCGTCTTATCCACGAGAAGGATATCATCAGCAAAAAGCATACACCAAGGTACATCCTCCTGTAAATGTTCGGTAAGATCATCCATAACTAAAGCAAAAAAGAAATGGGCTTAAAGTTGATCCCTGATGTAATCCAACAGAAATAGGAAAAATAGGAAAATATTTGGTCAGAAAATATTTGGTCAATCCTCCTGCAGTTCGAACACAAGTAACAACTCTAGTATACATATCTTTAATGATTTGATGTCAACACCTTTCCTCTTAAGAACTCTCCAAAGGATATCTCTTGGGACCTTATCATAAGTTTTTCAAAATCAATAAAAATCAAATGTAGATTCTCCTTATTATCTCTAAAACTTCTGCATTAAACTTTTGAATAAATGTATAGCTTCCATAGTAGACATGCCCGACATAAATCCAAATTGATTATGAGAAATCTTTGTATTACGTCTTAACCTATGTTCAATTTCCCTCTCCCATAATTTTAAAGTATGACACATCAACTTAATTCCTCTATAATTTGCACACTTTTGTGCATCCCCTTTATTCTTAAAAATGGGAACCAAAATACTTTCCTCCACTACTCAGACATCTTTTTAGTTTTTAAAATAATATTAAAGAGTTTAAGCCAAGAAACTCCCAAATCTCCTAAACATTTCCACACTTCAATTAGGATATCATCAGGTCCTACAGACTTTCCACCCTTGGTTTTCTTTAAAATCTCTTCAACTTATTGTTTACTAATGCGACGGTAAAAATGAAACATTTTATTATTATTAATGATATTAAGATCACTAAGGTCGATCTTATTCTAAGGTCGACTAAGGTCGATCTTATTTTCAGAAACTTCATTAAATAGTTTATCAAAATAACTCACTCACCTATGTTGAATATCTTTTTCTAAGAAGACCACTTTTTGATTTTTCAGCTTTAATACACTTGAGTTAAATCTATACTTCTCTTTTCTCTTTATTTAACTAGTTTATTCACATATTTTTAATATACATTATACATATATTTTTCACCCTCCTTAGTGTCTAATCTATTATAAAGATCATTAAAAGCAAAATTTTAGCGTCACATATTGTTTTTTTACACTCCCTACGGGCCTAACAAATATTCAAAAAAGTGGCAACGAAGGTACACTGTCGTAGAGTTGTCTGGATTATAACACCATCTAAATAGCTATCATCGGTTGTTGAATAATACTACAATGTGCTAGTTCGCATCCATGAACACAAAAAATTTAAAAAAAATAAAATAAAAAAAAAATTCTTAGAACCAATCAATGATTAACACAATTTCCCAAAAAAACAAATGATGCTAAAGGGGATGTTTAGGATCCCTTTTATTTTTTATTTTTTATTTTTTATTTGTTTGCTTTTGTTTGTTTTTGTTTATATTTTGATTTGAAACAAAATATGTTTGGTATCTTTGACTAAGATATTGTAGTTTTTGATAACACTCAAAATACCTAAATATTGTTTTGAGTGTTTTCAAATACAAGTTAAATTGTTTTTAGAAACAAAAAATAAAAACACACTAAAGAAACATGTTTTTAAAAATAAAATACAAAACAGCAAATAAATAAAACTGATTCAAAAATGCCAGAAGAAACCTGTAGAGCATAATTTACGGAACCAACTCCAAAGAATCAATATAAACAAGTATCAAGTGACTGACTGAAATTTTGTGAAAACAGTAACAAACTAGAGAATCATTTTAGCCTTGAGATTGAAATAAAACTTACCCTTGACGTTGGCTGAATCCTACGGTTGGATCTGCGGGGTTCCATAACTTCATATGTTGCCTTTCCATGATTTCCAGAACCTTTATCCCCAACGTTGGATGCTCCATCCATAGAAAATTTTAGTTTCTCAGTTAAATCCATCTTAGATCTTGAATTTTTCCTTTTTTTGAAAGAAGGAACGGGCGCAGACTGCTCAGAATCCTCGGGTACTACAGCTGAAACATCAGTTTTTACAGCTTGGCTTGGAAAAGAACTGAATTTGAATGCATTTATATTGTCTACGCAATTATTACTGCCTGTGAAACAGGATATGACATCTTTATCATGCACAGGAACGACATCCTCATTTGATAAGGAAAGTGATGCCTTGTCCTTCTCAGATAGACTTCCAGTTTGAAAGGTCCGAGAATTTTCAGCTTTGAAATCACCTCTAGTCTTGATTACAACAGCATTCTTTCCTTTATTATCAACTTTTGAAGTACTCCTCGATTGGCGAGATACCTGCGGCATCAAATATTTTGCAAATTTAATGGAATCATTACCTTCACTAACTTTCTCAGACTTGTTAACAACATAATGTTTGCTAACTTCCATAAACTTTCTCTTCTTTCCAGGTCTTGGAACTCCAAAAACCACCTTCGACCCTTCTTTCTGCAAGCCAGTCCGTTTTGGTTTAAGTGCATCAGAAATAACCTCAGCTCTTGAATTCTTTCCAATGGAAAAGTTTCTATCCTTAGCAGATAAAACATGCAATTCTGAATCATCAGGTTTCCTGGACTCTTCAATGATTGTGCTCCTGGAAAGCTTATCCATCTTGGCAACATCAACTTCCGAATGAATGTTTTCTTCAGATCTTCCTAATCTTTGCCGTTTCTCAGTGGGAGTATCACCCTGTTACAGCAACCACAATAAATGCTAGCAAGTACATCAAGTAGCTGAGAAGTAAGATAATAGCATAAACATGATAGAGTATCAGATATAATGCAGACCTCGGGTGGTTTAATTGGCTTTCCCTTTGCATGAGACCATTCCATCCATTGTCCATCCTTCCAGACACGAGATGGACGAAGATTCCAAGTATGAACAACCCGATTATCACCCCTAGCTGCAAGTAGTAGTTGAAATGTTATATCATGCACTGAATATAAAATAAGTATGCTTGATTATAGCAACAGAACTAGACATTTAACATTTATGGAAATTCTACACCCCTCTTCCTCTCTCCCCCTTAAAACATTAGTTTTGATTTGTAAGACAAACAAACAGTAAATCACCATTGCAAAACACTTGGAGGCTGTTTGGGATCAGTTTTTGTGATGTGGGGCTTTGGAGGGCCGAACTGGTTGGAGAGAGCAGAACCAGTTCAGCCTTCCTACTGGGTGGGCCGACCGGTCCAAGAGAGCTAGGTTTGCCGCCCAAGTCAAGGGGGTTCCCTCTTAGTTATCTACTAGTATTTATATGTTATTTTCTATGTTTTAGGGTAAATTTTTGCTCAGTTTCAGGCCAAGCTTGCCGTTGGCGGCAATTGTCCCGTCTAGGGCTATATCTAAAGGAAAATGTGCTCCGATTGTACCTCCTCCAAGGTGGTGATCTTCGATGGTTCAAATGGTGCTTTGTCTATAGTTTAATCCCGCGGGAATATTTATCCTTTCCAACTACCTCCGCATTGCCCTCTACCCTACTTCCAGCCACCACCCCATTTCCTTTTCCCTGCTACCTTGCCATCCCAAACCTGCAACCAGCATAGCCGCCTATCCTTCCACTCTAATTGCTCCACTCGCAATTCTTTCTACAGCCATCCTCCCAACCGCAAATCAGCACCTTTCCTTCCCCTCCTGTTCACAACCTCACCCTCTCAGTCATGACTCCTTCAACAGCCACAACCCCAACTGTGATAACCACAACAACAAACCCCTTTTCTCTCCTAACCATAGCCTCGCCTACAGCCTTCCAACTGACCACCTACTATCCCAGCCCTCTCACCGTTGTCCGCCCGCTGTCTCGTCTTACCCTAGTCGGGGAGTCGTGTTGTGTTGTATTCCCTTTCCTATTTTTAAGTATTGATTATAACCCTACTATCTTGGGGCAATAAAATCTGTTTTCCTATTGTGGTTTAGGTTCTCCAGTATCATTTGGTATCAGAGCTAGCCTAACACTAGTCTCATCCTAAGTTTTCCTAGCATCCACGCCTACCCAATCCACCTCCACCAAAAAATTTTCTTTCATATTCCTAAACCAGAGACGGATTTTGACCTAACCCGAATTTCCCTTTATTGATTTTTAAAATCAGTAACCCCAAATTAATTTTCCTCCACCTTTAATTAGTCTCATACACCCTCGTCCACCTCCCAATACTAAACCCTAGCCATGCCACCATAGAGATACATGTAGGCTTACGGACATAGAAGAAAAAAAAACTCAAATGGAAATTACCCTTAATTATGCAGGGAAAGCCGAAGGGTGAAAGAAATGAGAATTTCAACCCCTTCCATCAAAAGGATTTCAATTATGAAGAAGAAAGGCCATGACGCTTTGAAATCTAGTATTAGAGGAGGCCACATATGGAGAACATGGAAACATCAAAATAAAGGTGGATCCACTAGAGTTTGATGGAGGTATGAATCCAGAAAACTTTATTGAATGGCTAAAATCAATTGAGAGGATCTTTTACTGCAAATATGTGCCAGAAGATAAAAATGTGAAGCTTGTAGCTATTTGATTTCATCACCTAGGATAGCCTTAGAAATTAATTTGTTCTTTTGCATTAAACTCTAAACCAAAACTTAAATTTGCATCAAGCCTACTTGACAAAGGGATCTATGTTGGGCTTTTTGAAGAATTTGAACATGATCTATGGTTTAGTCTGCAAAGACAATTAATCACTATGTGCACCCGACAAAATGATATCATCGGTGAGTTAACCTATCTAAAATTCGGTAGATCCACTGGAAGCAGCTTCGCAACACACCAACATGAGTGCTTACGATTCTCTTGGTCACCTTTCTCATGAAGGTCCCATTCAAGGCACTAATGTGTTTTCTGATCAAAGTGAATGCATCACAGGGCCAGTCCCTTAAATTCTTTAAATGTTTGATTTTTCATGGATTTCATTATGGCTAATTGGCAATTGCATCAGTATAATGATAAATAAAATTGCAGCGTCTATTTAATTTCATCATCTTTGAATTAGAACATCTTGCATAAGGCTCTACACCAAAGCCTAATTTTACATCATGCCTAATTTACACAGGAACCTGTGCTGAGTTATTTGAAATCAAATCAAAGCACTTATCAGACAAATTGAAGCTCAACTTTGTCAACTCAGTTAAGAAGTCCACTCGCCTCATCTTTAAAGCATTAAGTGAGCAATGACTAAAAGACCAAAGAAAGTTAAAAAAAAAATCACTAAGTATATAAGCAAAACATCATTTTTCTATTAACATTGATAAGAATTAACTATGTTCAGTTTAGGCAAAAAATAAATATGCAGCTTCAAAATCAATAAGAAGAATGTAAGAAACTACCTTCTATTTTTATTTTTTATTTTTTTGTGCAATAGATACTATGATTAGGAGACAATAATTCCTATTATTGATTCAATTAACTAGCAAATCTTTAAGAAATGCTTAACCATGGCTTTCAGTTAAAAATTAAAAATAATATTATGAAAAGCCATAAAACATTTTCAAAATCATATAAGGCAAATGATGAGAATTATAAATAATTTTAGATGCTCGAGTATTGGGGACGAATAAATAGATACATAACCTGCAAAATGCACGGTCAGCTTCGTCTCATCTCCTGGAATCTTTTCAATGACTGTCCCTTCCCACCAACTGAGAGTTGAAAGCAAAAGATTAGATACAAAAGATTCCAACAAATTGATGCAAGATATTTTAGTTAATTTTCAAACGAAATTAGAGCAATGTAATGAATTTGAAAACAAAAAAAAAATAATGATTAACACATTAAAGTCACCTAAACATATAAAATTCCTTTTTTAGTGTATTCTAAAAAATACAATAAGTCTAACCAAAACGAAAATGAAAACACTCAATTTAAAGATAAATTGAAACCAATAAAAAACAGTAACTAAAACTTGCCACAACTGAAAGCCCAAATATAACCAATTTGAACAAAATCATAAACTATCAGAATGCCAACAACAACAATAAGAGATTTAGGCCCCGTTTGGGGCAACTTATAACCACGAGTAGGGTTTTCAAAACGCTGCGCTACCGTTTGATTCACGTTTTGGGCACGGCTCAAAAAACGGCGTTTTTATTTTGTTAATAACGCCACCCGTGGGCCGCATTCCTTGCTTACGGATTTGCTGCCCTCCAGCGTTCCTGCCCTAACAGCTCCTTCGGCTTCTTCGGCGATCTCCCAGGTAAACGCGTTCCTACCCAAACGAACCCTAAGCCTGTCGGCAGGGTTGTAAACAGAAAATCATCTTCTTTCACGCTCCTAAGCTCAACCACGAAGTCATCAAATTACGCACTACTGTGGTTCAATCTTTTCAGAAGATTCAAATTTTCAAACCTTGTGCTCGATCGATCACAATCTTTGTAATCCTAGAAAAAATTTTGCTGGATCGATTCGTTATCTTCTTCTGAATTTTAGTTGTCCGAACTTAAAGAAGATATACGATGATCCGAATTTTGTTCACACTGCTGATGGCGAAGGTGGGGCTTGTGGTCGTCCTCCTCTTCAAGACGTCACTGCGAAAGCTTGCGTCATGGGGCTAGACCGCTTGAAGCGCAGGCGCGGGCCGGTGATGCTGAAAATGGTGGCGGGGACTATGCTTCTCATGCTCTCCTCCAGTGTCTACAGCATGGCCAGAATCAAGAATTGATCTACCGAGATTGGAGGACTTAGTCCTACTGATGAGGTCCTCATGAGCTTCCACATCCTTGAGGCATCGCTTATGGGTAGTTGTTCATTGACTCGATCCTGTGATTATTTCGCATTTTTACAAGTGTTTGCATTGTTTTCATTTATCAGTATTGTTACAGATGATTACGATATGGGAGAAACACAATATTAACAAATTTTAAATGGGTTTAAGAACATTATTAAGGAATTCTAATTTTACAAGCGAAATTATGATTATAGATTTGCTTACGGCTTTGATATTGAAAAAACTCATTTACAATAAACATGTTCTGCCCTTAGCAGGAGAAGATAATATTTCGCTTTTATAGTTGGTTTTTTTGAGAGAATTTGATGACGAGGCCAACGAAATGATACAATAAATAAAGTTTATTTGCTAAAATTTTGTAATGGTTAGAAAGAGAATATAAGTAGGAAGCCCGTCCAGCTAAGATATTACCTTGGGACTGACCCTAAAGCATTCAATAAAGGATTTTTTTTTGTAATGTTATGAAGGAGTTTTATTGGTCTTAAAATATCTAATGCGTAGACATTACAGTTTTGCTGAGACCATTACAACTTCTGCGTGTCAGATTGTTCATTTAATTAAAAAAACCTGCAAACCAGCTATTCTTAAAACGCGCTAACAGTTAAACCGTTTATCCAAAATAGGGTCAAAATGGTCATTTATATAGAATCGACTGTTTTTCAAACGCACTAACAAAACAGTCAGACAGCTTATCTTGATCAACTGTTGATCAGCAGCTTATCAGGATCAACTACTGATCTGGTTAAGCTAGATAAGTTGCAGCTGCTCCAAATAGACCCTTAAGGAAGACACACCAAGTGAAAGACAGTTTGCATCATTGCACCACATTCGAGAAGAAACCATATCCAACAGACATACACAAAATTGAAAATTAGAAAACTAAAATTTATTGATCAAAAGCTATATAGTACCAGCATAATTTTTTTTTCTTTTTATATTCCTCTAAATTACCCTAAGTTGGCTCCCTCAAAAGTGAAGTTGATTTGAAATCAATACCATATGTATATCTCGGCACTATAATCACACATATGAAACTAGAAACTAACAAAAAGAGCCCCATAAAAGTTACAGAACTATCAACTATAAATCACAATAAACAATTACAGCAAAAATCCCACACAATGACTTAACAAGCAATAGTAATAGCAGATAAGATGAATTAGAATTCACCCGACCTACTGAAACTCAAAATCAACCCAAACCAAACTCCATAATCATACAGCAATCAAGTAGTTCCAACAGTGTAAAGTCAAACAGCAATTAATCTACAGGACAGAACCAGCCATTCAGCAAAAGAACAAACAACAATCTTAATCCAATCACTTGAACTAAACCAACCCAAAATTACCCAAACCAGGATCATCATAATAAAAGAGAACACATCCCATTCTCTTAGGCACAACCACAAACAAGTTCAAATAGAATTAAAGTTTAAAATTACAACATAAACTATAAACTTTACAAAAAAGAAAATTAAACTTGAATCAATAATTAAATTAATCGGCTTTTTTTATTAGTATAACATATAGATCCCCAGAAAATCTATCTAATATCCAAAATTTAACTTTGATGAATCTCACATTCAATACTATGAAAGAAACCAAGGCACAAATATTATGCTTCTTGTAAAATAATTGTGTCAACATAAATAAGATTGTCATGCCAAATGCATGGGGTATCTTTGGAATCCATAATCAGAAGTGCACTCAATTTCATAATCTAAAATAGCTTCAGAAACACATTGTATAGATATGTCTAGCAAAGTATTAGAAATGAATGCACTAAGAGATGAAAGAGAAAATAATTTAAGGAATCAGCAGCATCCGATGCCTTAAGAAGAAGATTAATATTAGAATTTTGGAATTTTTAAGCTAAAACTATTGGTTTCAAAGCATTGCACAATTTTAAATGGCTCTACATTTCTCATATTAATCACTAAGAGGCTCCTAAAAGAAGCTTTCTTGAATTCAAATGTAGCATTACTTACTCCATAGCTTCAATTCCAAGAACCTAATTACATCAATTGTAAACTTATAATTATCATAACAAAAAATCCATATTCCACAAATATTAATGCACATCACACAAATAATGCAAATCAAGAAAATGAATAATATGATATGAAGCAACTAACAAACTAACAAAAAAGTTTTAGCTAATATGCATTCAAAGAGATCCAAATAAAAACTTATGATTAATTAAGATTATAATGAAAACTAACAAAAAAATCAAATCACATAAATAGGGCAAGCCTAAAATGACGTAAAGCATTTTTAATAAAAACCAAACCAACTGCTTAAATATTAATTGTAATGAATTATGATCCTTTAAAAAGGACCAAATAAATGCAATTTTAAATTGTAGGATTCATTTAAAATAATCATCATCAAAATTTTTCTAAAATATTGATGTAACTTTAAATCTCCTTTAAAATATTATATTTCAATGTGTATATAAGGAATGCAAGGAAAAAAAAAAATCAATATCAAATTGAACAATCATCACAGAAAATTTTCATCAGTAGATCCAAAAGAGCACAACGACAAGCCTTTGTCCCACTAAGTGGGGTTCGACTACATGAATCCTTTCTCTACATTCAATACTATTGAGTGTCATATTTTCATTAAATTCTAATAAATTAAAAACATTTTTATACAACATGCCCAAGTCTTTTTAAGTCTACGTCTACCTTTCTCAACATAAGTAAAATTAAAAACATTTATTCTCCTAAAAGGGTTATCAGATGTTCGACGTTTAACGTGACCAAACCAACTAACGTGACTCTCTCTCTAATCTTGTCTATCACCGAAGCTACTCCCAACACTTTCACGGATATATTTGTTTCGTATTTTGTGTAAATCCACTTATCAAACCGAGCATTCTCATCTCAGCAACACTTAACAGTAAATCATGTGTAATGTTATCAAATTACTTTATGTATTCATCAACTACATTTTATATGATTTGTTTAGTTTCGTGTTAAGGAAAAGTTTTGGTTGTTATAATAAGTTCCATTTAGATAAATGATCTTTTGAACTCCAGCCAACTCACTATTGATCAAGTACAAGATCATGTTCCTGAACACGATCTACTGTATTTGTAGATTTAATTTCAAAACATCATATAAAGAATCATCATTTTGTAAATACAACTAATTTTAGCATTTAAAACATCCTCAAAAGAGTACTCATAAACTACCATATTTTACATTAAATCAAAATAAACCATATATGATTCTTGTTTATATGATTCTTGTTAGACGACAGCGGAGAGAGAAGCGGGAAAGAATGGTGATAAGCGGAGATAACTACAACCTCAGAACAAGATACGGTCGGAGAATTGAAATCCCTAGAAGGGAGAACTTGTGGTTGGAAGGGATAACTGGCGGATGGAATATGGGGTGCGGGAGCGTTAGACGGTAGTAGAGAGGGGCAGGAAAGAACGGGGAAAAACAAAGATAACCACCGCCTCGGAGGCAGAATACAGACAGAGCACCACCTGTCCTCGAATACAACCCTAGAAGAAAGAACTTGAGAGGTTGATAGCCGCCCCAACATAAAACTCAGCAAAAAACTAAACCCTCAAAATAGAAAATAACATAATTATAATAGAAGTTAACTATGAGGGGGAGGCCAGTCCTCTTGGGTAGTAATCATAGCGCTTGAAATAAGAGTTAGTCAGCCCTACAACCTCTTGGATGAGTCAGTCAAGTTGTTCTTCAGGTGGTTCAGCCCCTAGGGAGCCCCGCATCAGTCTCCTGGTGTTGGGGAAGCTTCCACCACATTCCTCGAAGCTTCTATTTGCAAGTTGACGGTGACGGAGTTGTTGGAACGTCCCAAGGCTGAAAAATCTTCAACCCGGACCTAGTAGCCCCTGGATCCCACTACCAACTATACTATCTCACAAAATACTGAA